ATATCTTTTTCCTTCCTTTCACTTTCAGTCTCCATGCATCTTTGTTGGTGAGCTATGTTTCTTGTAGGCAGCAAATAGATGTGTTTTTTTTTTTTTTAATCCATTCAGCCAGTCTGTGTCTTTTAACTGGAAAGTTGAGGCCATTTTTATTCAAGGTGACTATTGATAAGTAACGACTTTGCCCTGCCATTTTTCCAGAAATATTCCTATTTTTTTACTTTGAATTTCCTTTGAACTTTTACTGAGAGATTTCCTTCTTTACGTTCTTTTGTAGTGATAACTGTGTTTCTGTGTGCAACACATCCTTAAGCATCTTTTGTATGACTGGATGTGTGCTGACAAATTCTTTCAATTTCTGTTTGGTATGGAAGGCCTTCATTTCACCTTCATTCATAAATGAGAGCTTTGTAGTGCGTAGTATTCTGGGTTGATAGTTTTTTTTTTTTTCTCTTAAGACTTGGAATATATCTTGCCATTCTCTCGTAGCCTATTGGGTTTCTGATGAGAAGTCCACTGTGAGTCTAATTGGAGATCCTCTGAAAGTAATCATGCACATTTTAGAATCTTTTCTTTATGTTTTACTATGGTGAGTTTGATTACAATGTGTTGTGGTGAATATCTTTTCTGGTTATCTCTATTAGTAGTTCTGTGTGCTTCCTGTACTTGGATGTCTCTTTCTTTCCCAAAATAGGGAAGTTTTCTGTTGTCATTTCACTAAAAAAGGCCTTCTAATCCTTTCTCTCTATCCACACCTTCAGGAACTCCTGGTACCTGTGTGCTAGGTCATTTGGTATTATCCTGTAGATTCCAAACAGTGTTTTTTAGTTTTCTAATTTCCTCTTCTTATTTTTGGTTTGTATAATGTCCTGTTTTTTGTCTTCTAAGTCAGATATTCTTTCTTCTGCTTTACTGATTCTGTTAAGACTTTCCACTGCATTTTTTATTTGTTCTATTGAATTCTTCATTTCATTTTGGTTTCTCTTTAAGATTTCAATTTCATGTGAGAAATTTTCTTTCATATCCTGTACGGATTTCAATAGTTTGTGTATTTGCTTCTGATTACTTCTGTGTTACTTATGATCAATTTTTTTGAATTCCATTTCTTGCATTTCTTCCATCTCATCATCTTCACAATCTAGTATTGAAGTGTTGTGTTCTTTAGGAGGTGTCATTTTGTCTTCCTTGTTCTTTCTTCTTGAATTGGTATGTTTGTTTTTCTGCATTTGTGGGAGATACTCTTTGGTTTCTTATTTTTTTTCTTTTCTGTGGAAGCTTTTATCTTTGTACTATGACTCTGTAGATAAGTGGAGTGTTTACTTTCAGTGAATATCTAGATGCTTGTAATAGGTGTGACTAGGAAGCTCTGTTCAGTTCTCTAGGGTGAAGGTCGTGCCTAAGGTGAGACGCCCAGGTTTGGCATGATAAATCATTTTGTTATTCAGAAGGGAAGTTTATTCTGCTCAGCTGAGCTCCTCTTCTCAAAGGAGAACTGTGCCTGAGCACTAGGCCCAGTGGGTATTATATTCATCCGCTCTGTCCCAAGGACCACACAAAGGATCTGTGCGGTCCTCAGATTCTCCAGCAGTGTCTCTCACCAGGTAACTAGGAAGCCCTGAGCATCTGGAGTCTCCCATTGTGACTGCCCAAAGTCCCAGCCACACTATAAGTCCTCCCACACAGCCTCAGTTTTTTTCTCAGTCTTGGCACAGAAGCCTCCCATAGTCACAAGCTCCTAACCCCCTGTTAGTGTTCCCCACCAGAGTCAGGAGTTTCCACTTGGCTGGTTATTGGGTGCAGACACAGGCTGGCACAGCTGTTATATGTGTCCAAAATGCCACCTGCTCTATCGGCTTGTTATAGGATGCAGTTGTAAAGTGATTGGGGAGAGAGAAACATCTCCATCCTTTTTTTTCTCCTCTTGCTTGGCAGATACACTATCCCCCATGGGGCTCTAAGCCGGGTTCCCTCTGGGCTCTTCCTGCAGCTTTATCCCCAGTGGCTTGGGCTGCTGCAGTCTGGTCTCGCCTCACTTTCCAAAGCTGGTGTGTAGACTCTCAGCTGCTGGAGTCCTGAGTTGTGGGCATCCATGCCCCCCATGTAGGTCCACCATGTCTCTCTAATTTGTGTAGAGTTTCCTCTGCTGTTTTCTCCCTAACTCTCCCCTGAAACTGCACACTCTTTACTATTTTTAAACTATTTTCTGGACTAGAGGAGTAACTCCCTTCCTACCCCGCCATCTTGGAATGACTGAAAATTTATTTGAAAGGCAGAGTGACAGGCGTAGGGGTGGGGGGTGGGGCTTCCATACACTGGTTCACTTCCCAGATGTCTGTAACGGCTGGAGCTGCACTGATCTGAAGCCAGGAGCCAGGAGCTTCCTCCAGGTCTTCCATGCAGATGTGGGGGCCCAAGGACTTGGGCCATTTTCTACTGCTTTCCTGGACATAACAGAGAGCTGGATCAGAAGTGGAGCAGCCAGGACTACAACTTGCACTAGCATTATTTGTTGATATCTGTATGAGAGTCATTCTAACTGGGGTGAGGCGAAACCTCACCGAAGTTTTGATTTGCATTTCCCTGATGGCTGGTGATCCTCAGCCTTTTTTCATATGTGTGTTGGCCATTTGAATTTCATCCTTTGAAAAATGGAGGTTCATGTCCTTTGCCCATTTCTTAACTGGATTGTTTGTTGTTGAGTTTTTGAGCTCTTTATGGATTTTGGATATTAATCCTTTATCACTTCAATAGCTCACAAATATTTTCTCCCATTCTGTTGGTTGCCTCTTCATTTTGTTATGTGTTTCATTTGTAGTGCAGAAGTTTCTTAGCTTGGTATAATCCCATTTGTCTATCTTGGCTTTGATTGTCTATGCTTCTAAGGGTGTTTTCTGAGAAGTTTTTACCTGTGCCAATGTCTTACAGAGTTTCCCCGATTACTAGTTTCCTCTAGTAATTTGATAGTAGCAGGTTGTAGATGTAGATCCTTGATCCATTTTGAGTTGATTTTTGTATAAGGTGTTATGTAGGGGTTTTGTTTCATATTTCTGTATATGGAGATCCAGTTTTCCCTGCACTATTTGTTGAAGAGACTCCCCTTGCTCTAGGAATTGATTTTAGCTCCATTGACAAAAATTACTTGGTTGTAGATGCATGGATTGTTTTCTGGAGTTTCTATTCTGTTCCATTGCACTATGTGTCTATTTTTGTGTCAGTACCAGGCTCTTTTGATTATAACTGTCTTGTAGTATGTCTTGAAATCCGGTATCATGATGCCTCTGGCTTTGTTTTTGTTGTTTAAGATTGCTTTAGCTATTCAGGGTCTCTTGTGTTCCATAAGAATTTCAGCATCATTTTTTCTAGATCTGAGAAGAATGTCTTTGGTATATTTTTTTTTTTTTTGACAGGCAGAGTGGACAGTGAGAGAGAGACAGAGAGAGAAAGGTCTTCCTTTTGCCGTTGGTTCACCCTCCAATGGCCGCCGCTGCAGCCGGCGCACCGCGCTGATCCTGGCAGGAGCCAGGAGCCAGGTGCTTTTCCTGGTCTCCCATGGGGTGCAGGGCCCAAGCACCTGGGCCATCCTCCACTGCACTCCCTGGCCATAGCAGAGAGCTGGCCTGGAAGAGGGGCAACCGGGACAGAATCCGGCGCCCCAACCGGGACTAGAACCCGGTGTGCCGGCGCCGCAAGGTGGAGGATTAGCCTATTGAGCCACGGCGCCGGCTTGTCTTTGGTATATTTTTTAAAGATTGATTTATTTATTTGAAAGGAAGAGTTACAGAGAAAGAGAGGCAGAGACAGAGAAATCTTCCATCCACTAGTTCACTCCCCGCAACAGCCAGAGCTGCGTGGATCCGAAGCCAGGCGCCGGGAGTTTCTTCTAGGTTTCCCATGTGAGTGCAGGCGCCCAAGTACTTGGGCCGTCTTCCGCTGCTTTCCCAGGCACATTAGCTGGGAGCTAGAATGGAAGTGGAGTAGCTGGGACTCAAACTGGTACCCATGTGGGATGCCAGCACTGCAGGCAGTGGCTTTACTCTCTTAAGCCATGGTACCAACCCCCTCATTGGTATTTTGATTGGGATTGTATTGAATCTGTAAATTGCTTTGGGTAGTATGGATATTTTGATGATATTGATTCTTCCAATCCATGAACATGGAATATTTTTCCATTTTTTGTGTGTCTTTTTCTATTTCTTTCTTTAATATTTTGTAATTATAATTGTAGAGATCTTTCACATCCCTGGTTAAATTTATTCCAAGGTATTCAAAATTTTCTGTAACTATAGTGAATGATACTTATAAATTCTTTTTCTGCCATGGCCTTGTCTGTATTCAAAGGCTATGGATTTTTGTGTGATTTTACATCTGGCAACTTTACCAAACTCTTTTATGAGTTCCAGTAGTTTCTTAGTGGAGTCTTTTGATTTCTCTGTATATATATTTTTAATCTGCAAACAGGTATAATTGACTTCCTCCTTTCCTATTTGTATCCCTTTTATTTCTTTTTCTTGCCTAAATGCTCTAGATAAAACTTCCATAACAGTATTGAATACAATAGTGAATGTGGGTACCTTTGTCTGGTTCTAGATATTAGTGGAAATGCTTCCAACATTCCCTATTCAATATGATGCTGACTGTGTGTTTGTCATATGTAAGTTATTTACTCTTACTGTTTTTTTCACATATAATAACTGCACCTTCCTTTCAACAAGATAAGTACCTCAGCAAGTTTCTAGGTTCTGTTTTCTACCCACACCTATCTTATGATGTCAACATTGTCTAGAATTTTGACCCCTCCTAGAATAAATCTTTCCTCTTATAGTCTTTATAGAGCTATTTCAGGACAAGAAAATACAAATCATACTAGTTTGCCATCTTGGGAGGTACTGGAAAGCCCCAAAGAAGTTTTTATAGCAAATTAATGACACTTGTCTTTTAATTGTTCCACATCAATCATGCTTGGTGCTTTGATAATTAATTAGTATCTCCCCCACCTCAAACAGGTGGAAAATGTGAAATTACTGGATCGTTATGTGGAAAAGAAACCAGCTAATGGGATTCTGTATCTCACTGCAACTCACCTGATCTATGTGGAAACTTCTGGTGAAACCCGGAAAGAAACATGGGTATGTTCATGAGAAGAATCTTGAAAGGTCTTAAAGAATTGTGCATATATACTTTTTATATGATGGTTTCTTGAAATTTCAAGTAGCATTATTAAATTGCTATAAATCACTTTCTTTAAAGGACCTGTTCTAGAACTCTTTTTATAGTCTCCTTTTCCTTTAAGTTATTGTCTCTAGTAGGTAGTCTCTGCTTATTTTCTGAACCTAGATAGTTGATAAGCAATCTGAAATAATTTAAAGGTATGCTAGTTGTAAATGTAGCCTTGAGAACCAGCAGCATCTGTATCAATTTGAGAGCCTGTTAAAATGCAAAATCTTAAGCCTCAGATTTTTTTAAGTTTATTCATTTTTTATTTGAAAGGCAGGGTGTGGGGCGAGGAGGCAAATATCTTTTATCTGCTAGTTTGCTTCCCAAATGCCTGCAAGAGCTAGGGCCCAGGCAAACTTAAGCCAGGATCCAGAAACTTCATCTGGGTCTCCCATGTGTGTAGCAGGGATCAAAGTACTGCTGCCTCCTAGGGTGTGCATTAGCAGGAAGCTGGATTTGAAATGAAGGTGGGACTTGATCCCCCATGCACCTCGTTTATTGATGCAGGTGTCCCAAGTGATGGCATAACCTGTTACATCACAACACCCACCCACAACTTAAGGTGTTTATTTTAAAGATTTATTTATTTATTTGAAAGTCAGAGTTACACAGAGCAAGGGAGTGGCAGAAAGAAAAACACAGAGAGAGGGAAAGACAGAAAGAGAAACAGATCTTCCATCTGTTGTTACACTCCCCAGATGGCCACAACTGCCAGGACTGAGCCAGGCCAAAGCCAGGAGCCTCATCTGGATCTCTGACGTGGGTGCAGGGGCCCAAGCACTTGGGCCGTCTTCCACTGCTTTCCCAAGTACATTAGCAGGGAGCAGGATTAGAAGTGGAGCAGCCAGGACTTGAACCAGGACCCTTATGGGATACCAGCATCACAGGCAGCGGCTTAACCCATTATGCCATTATGCCTGCCTCAAACCTAAGGTTTTGAATTTCTTTGAATTTATTTACTTATTTGGAAGGTAGAATTACAGGGGGAAAAGGAAGTGAGGGATGCACTGGTTTACTTCACAAATGGCCACAATGGCAGGGGTTGGACCAGGCCAAAGCGAAGAGCCTGGAACTCCATCTGGGTCTCCCAGGGGCACAAGCACTTGAGCCATCTTCTGCTGCTTTCTCAGGCACATTAGCAGGTTGCTGGATTGGAAGTGGAACAGCCAGGACTTGAATTGGTGCTTTTATGGGGTGCCGCAGCTCAATCTGTTTTGCCACAATGCTGGTCCCAGGTTTTGAGTATCTAATAAGCATTCAAATGATGCTGATTCTCAGGTCCTATTGACTACACCTTGGGGAGCACTGCTTAAAATCATCTCTCTATCCTAAGATAGGATTTTGTCTTGTATGTGTCTATGTGTGTGAATAATTCTTGTTACACTTTTAAACATTGTTCTCGGTGTTTAGCACCCTTAATTTTTTTCAAAGATTTATTTATTTATTTGAAAGGCAATGTTACAGAGAGGCAGACACCGAGAGAGAGAGAGAGAGAGAGGGAGGGAGCTTTTCCATTTGCTAGTTCACTCCCCAAGTGGGTGCAAGAGCCCGAGCTGGCCGATCCAAAGCCATGAGCCAGGAGCCTCTTCCAGGCTTCCCACGCGGGTGCACGGGCCCAAGGACTTGGGCCATGTTCTACTGCTTTCCCAGGCCACAGCAGAGAGCTGGATTGGAAGTGGAGTAGCCAGGACTTGAACCAGCATCCATTGGAATGCTGGCACTGCAGGTGGTGGCCCTACCCTGTACACCACAGCGCCGGACCCCCTTAGTGTGTATTTATGCCTTCTGTATCTTAAAGCAGCATCATAATCATTAATCAGTAGCATGATTTACGGTTAAACCTCTTCATTTATAAACCTCATAGCATAGTGATTAAGATCACTGTATGCTGAGGTTGAAATTCCAACTGCAACATTTACTGCCTTTGTAATCTTGAGGAAGTTATTTTGCTTATCTGTGTCTCAGTTCCTTCATCTATAAAATAGAAACAATAATACTTTAAATTGTTTTAAAAATTAAGGTATGAGAATTACTAAGTTAGTGTTTGTAAGTGCATAAAACAGTACCTGAGTTGTGGCTAAATACTATTATATAAGCATAAAATAGATTAAATTGAATATGTATGGAAATAAATATTTTTAGAGATTTATTTGAAAGAGTGACAGGGAGAGAGAGAGAGACAGACAGAGGCAGGGATTCCTTCCTCTGATTCACTCCCCAAATGCCTGCAGCAGCCAGGGCCGGGCTAGGCTAAAGCCAGGATACAGGAACTCCATCCAGGTCTCTTGTGGGTGGCAAGAACCCAAGTACTTTAGGCCATCATCTTTTGCCTGGCAGGCTTGTTAGTAGGAAGCTAGATCAGAAGCAAAGATGAGACTGCATCCCAGACCCTCCTATATGTGATACAGCATTCCTAATGGCAGCTGAACTCTCTGTGCCACAACACCCACCCCTGAAAGGTGGTATTTTAATACTTTTTAAAATCCCATCACCCTATGGGGTTGTGTCTTGCTGTCTTTACTATGATGAAAGGAATGCCAAAAAAAAAAGAATTATGAGAACTGATTCTCTCTAGACTCAACTCTGATGGTAATAGGCTATGTGACTTTATGCAAGTTATTCTCTTTCTTGAGTTATCTTCTCATATGTGAAATGAGGTGGTTATATTATATAATTAGTACAGATTCTTCCAATTCAACAGTTTAGAAGACAGTTCTTTAGTATGGTGCCTTAAGCCTGTCTTCTGGCTAGTTGCATTTATAGATGTTGTACATGTCTCCAGATTTGTTCCTGCCAGGTATTATTTCAAACTTCGCAGACTGGGTCTGGAAGAAAGGACTTAAGGTACTTATTTCTGCATGTCAAAGGAGGTTTCTTTACCCAATTAATAGTATTAACAAAGTTCTCCTCTGCCTTAGTCTTTTCCTGATCCCCTTCCCAATTTCATCATAATTGTTTGTCCCTTAATCCTTTTTAAGATTTATTGACTTATTTGAAAGAGTTACAGAGAGAGAATGAGAGAGAGGAAGATCTTCTATCCACTGGTTCGCTCACCAGATGGCTGCAACCACCAGCACTGTGCCAGGTCAAAGCCAGGAGCCAGGAGCTTCATCCAGGTTTCCTCACATGGGTGGCAGGGACCCAGGCCGTTAGCAGAGAGTTTGATTGGAAGTGGAGCAGGTGGGACACGAACTGCTGCCCATATGGAATGCCAGCATCACAGGCAGCAGCTTTACTCACTAAGCCTCAATGCCAGCCTCTGTTCCCTGATCTTGATGATCACTATTTGACTACCCAAATGTACATCCTTCATATTGACTGGCAGGGCATGGATTTATTTGAGATTGGATACATGAATTCTTATTACATTATCAAGAGTTTCTGTGACCCCTCCAAAACTGCCACGGCAGGAATTGAGTTTGAAAAGATAGAAAATTATTCCTGAAAGGAGGGTGTTTGGTGTAGTGGTTAGGACACTTGCCTGTCATGTTGGAGTGCCTGAGTTCAAGTCTCAGCTTTGTTCCCAATTCTAGCTTCCTGCTAATGTGCATCCCAGAAGGCAGCAGGTGATGACTCAAGTAGCTGGGTCCCTGCTGCACACATGGCAGATCTGCGTTGAGTTCCCAGTTTCCAAATACAGCTTTGGGCCAATGTGGTCATTGTAGGTATTTGGGAATTGAATCAATGAATGAGAGCTGTGTGTGTGTGTCTGTGTCTGCCTCTCAAATTAGAAAAAAAAAGAAAATTCTTCCTAGGAACATGTGACTGATCTACATAGTTGCTGCATTCTAGATGGTGGATATGATCGAAAGATTTCATGGAAGAGATGACTTTTCCAAATAAATTGGGTGCTAAGCATGGCATAGGGGAAGAGAAAGGAGAAGAAAGGACAGTGTTGCTCAGAAGACCATTCCAAGCACAGGACAGGAAGTCCAGTGAATGGAAAGAATACATCCAGGCTCTGTACTTGTGGGAAGCATCAGAGATAGGAATAAGAAGAGAATGTCAAAGACTACAATTCAAATTCATGATTCTGTGGCTATTTTGGACATAGAATTGTACTATTTGAATATATTTTCTTTTATGAGTTATCTTTATAGAAACAGTGTGGACAGTGATCATCCTATGTTCAAAGCTTTACTGTCACTAAAGTCTGAAATGTGGGATGTTATTTCCTCCCTAATGTTTCTAGCTAAACTCTAATTCTGGAACTAGATTAGAATTTCTAGAGAAAGAATCTTGGACTTGGAGTTGGACTCCCATGGATCAAATTCTGTATTACTTCTTGAATATGTGGCCTGTGAATCAGGAATTCACTCCTCAGAGATTTGATTTCTTCATTCATGAAATATAGTGAATATATCCCAAAGGCTTTTACATGGTATATAGCTAATGGTCATGGACTACTTAGTGATAAATAAAGCACAATTATTAATAATTATTTATGTTATTTGAAAGGCAGAGAGACAAAGATCTTATGTCTGCTGGTTTACTCCCCAAATGCCTACAACAGCCAGGGCTGGGCCATGCCAAAGCCAAGAACCAGGAACTCAATCTGGGTCTCTTACATGGGTGGCACTGAGGCAAGTATGTGAGCCATTATGTGCTGCCTCCCAGAGTGATCATTAGCAGGAAGCTGGAATTGGAAGCAGAATCATGACTTGAACCCAGGCACGCCAATATGGGATGTGGCTGTCCCAAATGGAGTCTTAACTGCTGTACCATCTACCTGTCTTATATTAATCATTATTTTAATTAGCAACTTGATAGAACAAACGGAATTTGTTTTCCTCTGTTACAATTACTCTGATTGTAAACTCTACAGTTGATCTGCTAAAATTGTCTTATAAACCCATTAATCTAATAGCCTAAGGACAGAGAAGTTTTCTAACTACAGTTTGCTTCTCATTGCTTTACCACTATTTTTAAAAACTTTATTTATTTGAAAGGCAGAATTAGAGAGAGAGAGAGAGAGAGATCGATCTTCTATCCACTGGTTCACTCTCCAAAGGGCCACAGTGGCTGGGATTGTGGCAGATTGAAGCCAGAAGCCTGGAACTTCCACTGGATCTCCCATATGGGTGCAGGGACTCAGGCACTTGGGCCATCTTCCACTGCTGCTTAGTGGGGAGCAGAACTGGAAGTGGAGCAGCTGGGTCTCAAACTGGTGCCCATATGGCATGCTGGCATCACAGGCAGCGGCTTAACCTGCTATGCCACAACACCAGCCCCTGCTTTACCACTATTAATGCTTTATTTCTGTTTGAAAGAACCTCAGCTGTGTCTTAGAAAAGATGGCTATAAGCTATAGATGTGATTGTATCTCTGTCCATGCTTATAGTATTACTGAGAATCAGACATAATGAGAGTGTTTATTTAATAAATATCTATGTTTATTGTAGTTCTTTTCTTTTTACAGATTGCGGTCCATCACATTGCCACTGTGGAGAAATTGCCCATCACTAACCTGGGCTGTCCCCTGGTCCTCCGCTGTAAGAACTTCCGGGTGGCCCACTTTGTTTTAGACTCTGATCTTGTGTGCAATGAAGTTTATATTTCACTGCTCAAGCTTTCTCAGCCAGGTAGTTATGATAGTATTTTTATGTAAAGCCATTTTGTTTTTTTTTTTTCTGAAATAGTGTAATGGAAAGATTATATAGAGTTAGAGCAGGGTTTGCATCTGGGCTCTGTCATTTAGTAGCTTCATGGTATTTGGGCAATTTATATAACCTCTGAACTCAGCTTTCTCACATGTTAAAGTACAGTGATGGCCGGCGCCGCGGCTCACTAGGCTAATCCTCCGCCTTGCGGCGCCGGCACACTGGGTTCTAGTCCCGGTCGGGGCGCCGGATTCTGTCCCGGTTGCCCCTCTTCCAGGCCAGCTCTCTGCTGTGGCCAGGGAGTGCAGTGGAGGATGGCCCAAGTCCTTGAGCCCTGCACCCCATGGGAGACCAGGATAAGTACCTGGCTCCTGCCATCGGATCAGCGCGGCCATTGGAGGGTGAACCAATGGCAAAGGAAGACCTTTCTCTCTGTCTCTCTCTCTCATTGTCCACTCTGCCTGTCAAAAAAAAAAAAAGTACAGTGAGTTAATGCTCCCTAAGGGGGATATTTTGACACTTATTTATATTCATGCATTTTTTAGTATATGTAGTATATAGTAGATAATTAAAAGGTATTTTCTTGTCTTGATTCCTGTTCTGCTGGCATTATGTTTGACTTATTGTTCCCGGCCTACCTTTAGTTCCATTTAGAAGACTAGGGTAGTTTATCAGAGTCCTCACTATTGCAGTTACCGCTGCTTCCTCCAGCTTTACCCACTCATTTTTTAAATTTTTTTTATTTTTGACAGGCAGAGTTAGAGACAGAGAGAAAGGTCTTCCTTTGCCATTGGTTCACCCCCCCACAAATGGCCACTATGGCAGATGCACTGCAGCTGGCACACTGCGCCAATCTGAAGCCAGGAGCCCAGTGCTTCCTCCTGGTCTCCCATGCAGGTGCAGGGCCCAAGCACTTGGGCCATCCTCCACTGCCTTCCCGGGCCACAGCAGAGAGCTGGACTGGAAGAGGAGCAACCGGGACAAAATCCAGTGCCCCAACCGGGACTAGAACCCCAGGGTGCTGGTTCCTCAGGTGGAGGATTAGCCTAGTGAGCAGCGGCGCTGGCCACCCACTCATTTCCTAGTCCCCACCCCTAGACAGCTATCATTGTCCTCTCATTTTATTCTGTGGAATCTCCATTCTCTTAGATTTTTCCCTCCCAATTCTCTTCCCTCCTTACCCCAGAATAATTCATCAGTTTTTGATGATAATTCTTGACAGCATTACTTAATTACATGAGCCAGTGTTGTATAAGGCTTTGGTTGGCTTCATCCATCTCTGGAAAAATTATTGCCACATCAGTTGGCCAAACACATCAGTTGGCCAAAGTTGTATCTTGTGAAGGGAGAAAGCAGGACTGACAGGGAGAAGGGAAGAGATTGCCATTTATCAGCCAGAGGCTGGTGTTGGCCTGAAGAGTAGAATACAAGAACGTTATTAATGTTGTGCAACATGTTACAACAAGCAGTGCACTTAGGACATAGAAGCTCAGTTAAGAACTTTTGGTAAGGACTGGTTTTTTTCTTCAAATATTATTTATTTAAAAGGCAGAGTTAGAGGGGAGTGGGGAGAGACAGAGAGGTCTTCCATATGCTGGTTCACTTTCCAAATGGCTGCAATGCTAGGGCTAGGCCAAGCAGAAGCCATGAGCCAGGAGCTCTTCTAGGTCTCCCATGTGGGTGCAGGGGCCCAAGCACTTAAGCCATCTTCCACTGCTTTCCCAGATGCATTAGCAAGGAGCTGGATCACAAGTGGAGCAGCTGGGACTCAAACTAGCACCCAAATGGGATGCCAGTGAAGCAGGAGGCGGGTTTAACTGCCCTGTCTCAACACTGGCCCCAGAACTGTTTCTTAACATGTGAAACCTGGAAGCCTCAGTTAAATCTGTTGTACAGAATTCTGTTTTTTTTTTTTTTTTATGAAGCCAGGCAGAAAATTTCTTCTTTGCATTAGTGTCACAAAAAATAAACATTTATAAAAGAAAAACCTGAAGCAATATTCTAGCTCTTATTCCTTATATAAAGGCAAACTTGTATAAAAAAACACTTTTTTTCTAAGGCTGTTTGATAAACATTTCCTTTGAGAGAAGGAAATTAACCTTTATTTGCATTGTTTGGTAATCTGAGTTTCATTCATCATTACTTTGTTGTCATATCTATCTTCTCCAGTATTACCTGAAGATCTTTATGCTTTTGCTTATAATCCCAAATCCTCAAAAGAGATGAGGGAAAATGGATGGAAACTGATTAACCCAACATCAGACTTTGAACGTATGGGAATACCCAACAGGTACTGGACCATAACAGATGCTAACAGAAGCTATGAGGTAAGTTTGTTATTGTTATCATTCATTTAGTGTATTTAATTAAAATGGCAGAGTATCAGCAAGCACAGGTTTGAAAAAAGAGAAAGGAAAGCAGTCATAATTGATCCTTTTAATTCAACAGTCAGCCATTCAAAGAACATTGAGTACAAACTGTGCTCAGGTAACTGAGTAAGAGATCTAATGGTCTAAAGCATAGGATGCTGTGGAGCACAGACGAAGGATATAAAAATCAGCCAGAGAAGCCAGAAATAGCCTGATCTTTAGGGAATAGCCTTTTGAAAGAGCTTTATCCTAATTTATGCAGGAGGAGAAGAAAGGAGTTCAGGATGTGAAGTCAGATCATGAGGGGATTCATGACCAAATTAAAGAAATTGAATATTATCCTGAAGACATTTGGGAGCATGAGAGTGTTTTTTGCTGGAAAGCAACTTGAATCTATTTGTACTTTAGTAAGATAACTTTGTTATGAGTGTGGACAATTGTTTTCTAGATGCAAACCAATTTGCAAATGCAGAAGGATGGTAAATGAAGTGATGAGAAACTGAACTAAGACAATGAATGCAGACAGAGAGGAGGAGATGAATTTACAAAAGATATTTAGAGGGCTGGCACTGTGGCATAGCAAGTAGAGCCACCACCTGCAGCGCCAGCATCCCATATGGGCGCCGGTTCAAGACCCAGCTGCTCCATTTCCAATCCAGCTCTCTGTTATGGCCTGGGAAAGCAGTAAAAGATGGCCAAGTCCTACGACCCCTGCACCCACATGGGAGACCCGGAAGAGGCTCCTGGCTCCAGATTGGCCCAGCTCCAGCCATTGCAGCCATTTAGAGAGTGAACCAGCAAATGGAAGACTGACTTTCTCTCTCTCTCTCTTTCTCTCTCTGCCTCTGTGCAACGCTGCCTTTTAAATAAATAAATAAAAGCTTTAAAAAAAGATTTATGTTATAGAATTGAAAGACCTAGTGGATAGTGGTTGTTAGCCTTGATAATGACCACAAGAAGGACATATGATATCCTCGATTTTAGACTTGAGTTTAAGGTAATTAAAGATATATCAAGCTTTTTATATCAAGCATCTGGGTCTTAATCTCAGGAAGGAACTGTGGAATGAATATAGGGGTCTAGGATTATATGGGGGGGTCCCCAAGACTATCCCTCAAAGTCTGTAATTCACTGGGAAGACACATGACTCAACATACAGTCATATTTATGGCTGTGATTTATTATAATGAAAGGATACAAAGCAAAATCAGCAAAGGGAAGAAGTACATAGGTAAATCTGGAGAAAACCTGGTCCAAGCTTCCGAAGTCCTTTCATAGTAGAATCACACAGGACACATTTAATTCCTCCAGCAATGGGTTGTGACAACACATGTAATGTTGTCTACCAGGCAAGCTTATTAGTGACTCAGTGCTTTTAGAATTTTCGAGGCTGCTCACATATACACCCTCTGCCTAGAGTATACCAAAATTCTAAATGCCTACCAAGAAAACAAATGTTCAACGTAAACCACATTTTTTTATACAGTCTATACACAGTAAGCCGCTCTTACCAATTAGGTAGCAGTGAACACCCTCCCAAAAGCCAAGTCCTCAGACGCAGCCAAGTGGGAACCTTGCAGGTAGGCCTGTTCTAAGGATAACAGGCCTGCTATGATAACTTTTCTGCACAGATTCATTGTTAAGTGATATTCCTGAATTTTTGGATCTTTAAGTTTCCAGTGTATCACTACCATAGTAAGACTATAATGACTTTCTGGTAACACAGTTTTGAATATCCACTAAGTGAGGATTAATGAGCTGTCACTTAGCAGGGTTATCTGTGAGGTGGCTTATTAGGAATGAGTAGAGTTGGGGTGAATTCTGTCGAGTTGAAGTCTTCTGAATGAGTTTTGAAATGCCCATGTTTCTCTGGATGCATATGGCCTTCTGAGCTGAGTGGAAAGCTCCATACTTTTCTCTTTGTATGACTTGCTTTTCCAAAGTCTTGAGTCCAGGAAAGGGATGGGTAGAGAACTTCTCAAATGGTCCTCATTCCGAGGACATTGACTAATGAATTATATAGAGGATTCTTAATCTAATTTGTCATTAATTATTTTTGCCTGTTTTTTTTTAAATTTAATTGATGTAATATATATTTACAGAATATAGTGGTAAGTTAATGCATGTATACAATGTATAAGGATCAAATCAGGGTAATTAGCATTTCCATTTCCTCAAATAGTATGATTTCTATATGTTGAGAACTTTCAAAGTCTTCTCTGTTTGTTTATTTGATCTATTATTAAATGTTTGGGTATATTTTACATTTAAGAAAGTGATTAGAGTTAATTTTGCATCATCAGATCTGTCCTGTTAACAATATTTTGTTTGTGTCTCTTTGGAAAGTTGTATTTTGTTAACCACTAAGGGCTGATAAATTTGAGAAAATGTGTCCCATCTTCTTATAGCATATGTCACAACTAAAATGTCAACACCTTCAACCCCCAACTAGTGTTTTACAGACCATCCAGAAATGCATGAAGCAGTTTGCAGTTTATGAAGAAATAAATCATACATCCTTATTCTCTTCTACATGTCTTCTTGAGTTGATTTTTGGTTATATATGTTTCTGCCTATGATTTTAGTTAATCACAAAGTAAATTTTGTTCTTATATGTCTTAGTATTTTTCTTTATGGAAATTAAGGGCATACTTGAAAAAACTCTAAACCAAGAGTATTTTGTTTCTATTTCTGAGGAATGGATGATTCTGAATAGTAAATACCAGGCAGCTAATGCTTGAGTGATTGCCAATGCTAGTCTGTTGCTAGTAAGTGAAAAATGTAATACACACACACACACACACACACACGTATTTGTATTGGTTTATTTTTTAGATATGCGGTACCTACCCTCCTGAAATAGTGATTCCCAAATCTGTTACCTTGGGAACAGTGGTTGGAAGTTCAAAATTCAGAAGTAGAGAACGTGTGCCTGTGCTTTCCTACCTCTACAAAGAGAACAATGTGAGTTAAGCAAACTTTCTAATGAATACTAACTTGCCTCTAGAAGACCTAGGTTTAAGTGTCACTGTTCCACTTTACTAGCTGTGTGACCTCAAGCAAGTTATTTAACTTATCTGAACTTTGGACCTTTGAGCATTTTTGAGAGGGTCACATGAAGGAAAAATAGATATATACTTTGTAAATTGTAAGTATATGTGGCATTTTAAGTCTTCTAATTTGTTTCCTTCCTATGGGTTCCAGCTGGTAAGAAGTTGTGGCATGAAAGGAAACTAGTAGTATATTTGGGGACTATGGCTTGCCACGAGGATACAAAGGCCCTTGATTCTTTTCTACCAGCTTATTTTTTTTTTTTTTTGAGATTATTTATTTGAAGCACAGAGTTACAGAGAGGAGGAGAGAGAGAGAGGAGAGGAGAGGAGAGAGGAGGGGAGAGGAGGGGAGGGGGGAGGGGGGAGAGGGAGAACCTCTTCTATCCTCTGCTATACTCCCCAAATGGGGTTAGACAAGTAGTTAGGTTCTCAAATGGGCAACTGTTCAAGTGCTAAAGAGTATAATGATGCAATTGGGTGCCCTTGTGTCAAGCTATTAAAGTGAACAGATTCCTTAAATCCATATCAAAGTGTAATGAAGTCCATTAACTAATTATATCCAGACAAACTTGTTAAATAGCTATGCTGTTTTTATATTGAAAAGGCTTGAAAATAAACCAGCCCTCTGATTTATTATTAACTCTTGAAACTAAGGAATTCTGTTCTCTAAATCTCTAGATCTTTGCTCTCTTTTGAATTCTGCTACCACTGCTTTCCTCTGGTTTATAAGAGTGATATTACTGCAACTATAATAGTGGGCAATTTTAGAAAAATAACTAGCCCATCACGTATGGAGAGTTGATTTTTATTAAGGAAGCATTCAAGATGTGATTTTTTAGTAGTCTGATTTGCCAAGACTGCGTTGGGAGTCAGCCACATGCCTTTGGGAAGTAGGAGGCTGAGTCCAATATCAGTGAAATGCCTGGACTTTAAAGTCACATATCCCTTCAGTCATTGTCTTGAGTTGATTTTTCTTTTCCCACTACTTAGTAAACCTGGAGTCAAGGAGGATTTTTGACCAGCTGAGACTATAACACTCAACTGATACACTTTTTCCTTACAGGCTGTCATTTGCCGCTGTAGCCAGCCCCTGTCGGGATTTTACACTCGCTCTGTGGATGATGAGCTCTTGCTGGAAGCCATTGGCCAGACGAACCCAGGGAACCAGTTTATGTATGTCGTAGACACAAGACCAAAGGTATCTATTTGTCAGTGACTTCTCTGATATTTCTACTTACTATAATCCTTATCCCCACATATTGAGACTTGTAGTGTTATTAAGTCAGATTTGCGTATGTCAGACATGGTAGAAAATAATTTGAGCAAGCCATTTGGAGCTCCTTTTATAAGCCTGTCACTGACAAGGTACCGTGAACAACTTAGCTTTGCTACCTCAGTAAGACGTCCTGAGTTGAAGGTTCATTGACACATCTTAAATGTGTCACTAAATCTGTTCCTCAACCAGAATTTTTTGTAGTTTTCTGTGGTAGAAATTTACTATCAGAGAAAGAGCTTCAATTTAGACAATGGAAACCTAACTACTACCAGCATATCTTTTTGTAATTAATGTTTTGAGCCATAGTAAGTTAATAATATTTTGCTGTTTCCTGAAGGAGCAGGGATCACAAATCTGACTGCTATGTGATTAACTAAAAATGTTTGGATCTTGTGGCAATAACTTTTTTTAGCACCCAGTACTATTAGCTGATTACGTTTTCCCAATTCAGTGAAGTACAATTTAAATCTTAGTTCCAAAGAATAAGAACAGGGACATAAATTTGCCATAGATTTTGACAGTGGACATGGACTTCTAGCAAATTCCTTTCATCTTTCCTAGAGCTTGATGCTATGTGATTTGTTTCATTGTTTTCCCAGGCTTTGTCCCTTTCAAATGTGTATGTCACTGATGTCCTTAGATCAACCTAAATATCAGCTTAAACTTTTACCCTTGACCTTCAGGCTCCATGGGGGATTGTAGATGAATTTATTGTGCTCCACAAAGCAAGTAAAGGACTGAACCCATTTTCTTAAAGGTTGTCCTTTTTACAAAAATTCTAAAAAAGAAACAATTTTACATAAAATTTGATGTGAGAATGTGGTTGAGGAGGTTTTGTTGCTAAGTAGTGATTGCTAACCTGGGAGTTGAGAGCTAAGCCTAAGCTAGGTAGTTGTGGCTTCAGAGTTCAGCAGTTGGATATGCATGAGACTAAACAGTGGTCTTATACAGCTTGTCTGCCCCATTTTGTGATTCCCCCACTAGCTGTTTTCCAGAGCTACCTAGGACTGACTGCGCCCAAATGAGAAAATAATTTCCCTTTTTTGCTCAGGTATAATCTTTTACTGTTTCAAAAGCTTACTGTTTTATTTCAATGATAACCACCTCTCATATTCTGTTTAAAAATTTTATTGATTTGAGAGACAGAGGAGAGAGACTGATATCCCATCAGCTGGTAAAATACCCAAATGCTCACAGTGACTGGGCCAGACAGAAGGGAACTCAATCCAGCTAACCCACGTTAATGACAGGGTCCCAACTCCCTGCTGCTTTCCAGGGTCTACATGAGCAGGAAGCTGAAGTCAAGAGCCACAGCTGAAACTCAACTCAGGCATACTAATATTTGATACAAGCATCCCATATGGCATCTTAAACTGCTAAGCCAAATGCCTGCCTCTGCATTTGACATTCTGAGATTGGCAAGAGTTTAATCAAGTCTGTACCTTTTATCAAGATTAAATACCCTTAAAATGATGAAGAGAAATATACCAAGCTTCTGAGAATCTAAAAGATTGGGGCCTTTTATTCAAATCCAATATCAGGAAGTTCTCTTTAATAGATTCTATTTTCCTGTCTTAAATCCAAGCAAATTAAGACAGGCCTAGAAATATCTGGAAATCCCCCTTTTCTGGATGGCTAGATTTAAATATTTGGTAGAAACTATATTATAGTGATAGAAATTTGTTCTTAGGAGTTAGACAAATTTGAGGTCAAGCCTTGCCTTCAGTCCTTATCCTTGTGATCTTTGGCAAATTAGTTCACCTTTCTGAAGCTATTTACTTAGGAAAATAGTCCTTACCTTGAGGGGCTATAGTAAAAGTTAGACGAGATAATATATGTAAAGGGTCTGCCACATAGTAGTAACTCAATAAATATTACATTTTCTCTACCTGAACATTAATATGTAGCTGTTTGACCTCAGATCCACTGGATATATTTCCAAAGGGTATATACTGGCATAGGATAGTTACCTACCTTTACCTACCTGTGTTACCTGGCCTACCCAAACCTGGTAGGGACTAGTATAATTATGTTTTGTTTACTGAAGCATCCCTCATAGGAAATTTTGTTGCTTCTAAGTGGTTATTGCTTGCACTTCTACACAGTTTTTTGGTGTTTTTTTTTTTTTGGACAGGCAGAGTTAGAAGGTTTTTTTTTTTTAAGATTTTCATTTATTTGTTTCAGAGGCAGAGAAAGACACAAAAACAGAATATTCCATATACTGGTTCATTCCCCAGATGCCCAAAACAGCAGTGCCAAAGCCAGGAATCAAGAACTCAGTTCAGTTTTCCAAAGCAGGTGGCAGGGACTCAAACTACTTGAGCCATTACCTGCTACCACCCAGTGAATGCATTAGCAGGAAGCTAGAATTGAGCAAGAAGCCAGAATTCAAATCCAGGCACTCTGACATGGGACACAGCTATCCCAAGCAGCCTCTTAATTGCTGTACCATACGCCTTCCCCCAACAGGAATTCTTTGGACATTTGTCATTAATTTAATGAAAGCTCACTGAAACTATCAGTGTGATAAAAGATCGAAATCGCCATCATGGTTCTCCATTTAATAAGTGTCTTGCATTCTAAAGAGAATATATTGAAACATTAACTTTATTTCTTTTCCATAAGCTAACATGAATAGTTTATATGCTTTGAGGTTTTTGCATTCCTTTACATTAGTACAAAACTACATATTGGCTACATATGTGCTCCTCCTGCCTTCAGAAATATAAAATACTGGTAGATGAGAAAACAGGCCCAGACAACAGACACTTAATTGCAAGATGACCATCATCATATCTTGGTTATTATTGTATTCATATCTCCTCTCTACGAATCTCAGTTACACCTTACCTTTCTCGGTGTCCTTTTAAAAAATATGTGTTTATTTGAAATGCAGAGTGACAGAGGGAGAGACAGAGAGCTTCCATTTGCTGATTCACTTCCCAGATGGCCACAATGGTCAGGGCTGGCCCAGGATGAAGCTAGGAGCCTGGAACTCCATCTGAGTCTCCATGTGGGTGGCAGGGACCCAACTACTTGGGTCATCTTCCACTACTTCCTAGGAACATTAGTGGGGATCTGGATCAGAAGCAGAGCAGCTAGGACTCAAACAGGCACTCTATATGGGATGCCACCATTGCAAGTGGTAGCTTAACCTGCTGTGCCACAAAACTGGCCCCCCAACTCAATATTCTTCATATGACCTAGAGATACTCTGGTTACTGCAAGCTGTATTCACTGGCTTTTAGATCATGTACCTTTATAATAGATTCATATAGGGAGATAGAGGAAGACCTAGTATATTTGTTTTATTTTTTAAAAAATATTTTATTTATTTGAAAGACAGAGTTAGAGGGAGGAAGAGAGAGAGAGAGAAATATTCCAACCACTGGTTCACTCTCCAAATGGCTGCAACAGCAGATCTGTGCGAGGCTGAAGCCAGGAGCTCCATTGGGGTCTCCCACATGAGTGCAGGGGCCAAAACACTTGGTCCATCTTCCACTGCTTTCCTAGGCACATTAGCAGGGAGCTGGAAGTGGAGCAGCTGAGAGCTGAACCAGTGCCCACATTAGGATGCCAGTGCTGCAGACAGTGGCTTAACCTACTACACCACAGTGCTGGCCCCTGTTTTATTTCATAAACCCTGCTTAAGAAATGAAGGATGTGGCAGCTATAGGATATCTGATCTGAAATAATAATTTTGAGCTGCCCATCACAAACAATTGCTTTCGCATCTAAAAAGACTTTATACTCAGAAACATGTAGAAGTTCAAAAATCTTTACAACTGAGAAGATCTAAAAAGAAGTCTCAGAATGTCAGCACCAATTAATTTTAAATAGCTACTCTAGAAAAATGTCAAAAACATGACTGCATGAGATAAATAACTTTTATGCTCTGAGAAAATTGAAATGTAGATACTAACAGCTGTCTTAACACTATTTTCAGCTTTCAGTAATTCTGTATTACAGAATGTGTCTTATCTGATATAACTTTTTTTTGAATAGGATATATTTTTAAAGCTTTTATTTATTTATTTGAAAGGTAGAGTTACAGAGAGAAAGAAAGAGATCTTCCATCTGCTGGTTCACTTCCCAAATGGCTGTAATGGCCCAAGCTGGGCCAGACCCAAGTCAGCAGCCTGGAATCCATTTGGGTCTCCCAGGTGGGTGCAGGAGCCCAAGGATTTGAGCCATCTTTCACTGCTTTCCCGGGCAAATTAGCATGGAGCTAGATGGGAAGTGAAACAGCTGGGACTTGAACCAGCACCCATATGGGATGCTGACATTGCAGGCAGTGGCTTAACCATCTGAACAGAAATGCCAGCCCTGAATGAGTGGGATTTAAAACTGTTCAGAATGAAGCACTGAGATTGAATCCCGTTCTTTCATAATCTGGCCTTTATTATGTCCTTCACTATTGCAGTTGAATGCCATGGCCAACCGAGCAGCTGGGAAGGGGTATGAGAGTGAAGACTACTATGCCAACATTCGCTTCAGGTTCATGGGTATTGAGAACATTCATGTGATGCGGAGCAGCCTGCAGAAACTCTTGGAAGGTACAGGGATTTCACCTTGGCCAGGCCAGTGGCCATGTCTTTGCATTATTACATAAACGACATGCTTGCCTGATTTGGATTGGGGTGTAACATAAAAAGCAAGCAGATGGGCAGCCAATAAATGATAAGATATTTAACTGTAGTATGAATATAGCTTACATAGTACTGAATTATGGCAGTGATGTTCTGGCAGAAGGACTAATGTATTCATTTTCATAACTCATTGAAGTCTATTTGGGTCTAGCTGCTGTGGAAATAATTTCTCTCTACAGAATTACTGGTATTCAGGGTGGGTAGGCCAACATAACTACTAATGTATTTGGAATTCATTTCTTCATCAAGGTAAGAAACCACTTGATTTAATGTTAGAAGAAGTCACTCTGATTTCATCACTGCTCATGAAATGTGGACCTCAGAGTAATAAAGCTGATATCAGACAACTTCGGTCGTTTGTCATCACTGCTTAATAACTGGGGGAAAGTAGGATTGAAGTTTAACAGTGCTTGGGTTTAGAACATTTCTCTTAAAACTGCTACACAGGATGAACTGATAAACCAACTTAAGAAGGGATCCTCAAAACCTGTATTGTTTCGTTAACTCTCTATTCTTCCTGTTTTCTTCCCTTTTGTACTGGTATAGTCTGCCAGGACCTCTCCCTTACACCACAGAGTGTATTTCCTCAGTCTGCATCCCTTTTACTGTATTTGTGTCCTCCTTCCTTAAGTCTCTTCTGTTTTGTTTTTTTTTTTTCTCCCCAGAATGTTCTATAGGAAGAAACTTTGTTTCACAGACTTTTCAGGGAAAAGATTGCCCTCTGCTGGATAACCAGTGCAAAGTACATAAAAGTGTGTGTGTGTGTGTGTGTGTGTGTGTGTGTGTGTGTGTTTTCCAACGTGTTGAGACTGCATAGGGCTTCGGGGAGTAGGTAGGTATGTGGGAATAGAAACTGATATTAAGGGCCTATAGTATTAGGAAGAGTGGGTTGGATTAGGATGGGTATTAAATATGCTTTCTAATCAGAGGAGATGTATTTTTCTATAGATGCTGACTCAATCTCTGGTTCTCTAAGGGCTTGGGGGTGGATTCTACAATTTGAGAAAGCAGAGGCTCATGCTGGGAGCTCTAGTGGGCTTTGGCCATAGTCCATCCCTGACTCCCTGTGTGGTTTCACACTAATCATTTAACCCTTCTGTGCCTCAGTTTTCCTCATTTACAAAATGGGGATCCACTTTATCCCCTTTCTTGATGAATAAACTGAGGTGATTGTGAATTTCAATCTCTGCTTCCTTTTCTACCTTAGTTTGTGAATTGAAAACTCCAACAATGAGTGAATTTCTTAGCGGCCTGGAGAGCTCAGGGTGGTTGAGACACATTAAAGCTATTATGGATGCTGGAATTTTCATTACAAAGGTAATAATCAGGACTTTTAAGAATTTGCACTGACTTTAATGATGGGATCTCCTGAGGTGGTAGAGTGACATGGTGAAAGACTATTGAAAAGATACCTAGCTTCTGGACTACTCTGCCACCAGTTTACTGTGTGCCCTTGGGCAAGTTTCTTTCCTCTTTGAGCCTCAGTTTCTCCATTTTTATAACAAGGTGATTGAACAAGAATCTAATGATATAACTCTTACGGGACCCACAGATTTCTTTGAGAATATGATTAATCCCCTCCTCTGAAAAATGCCCAACTATACATTAAGAAAATGCATCTCAATTTCAGGTTATCCACAGACCCTAGCACCTCAAGTTTAAAATAGGAGATCTGTAATGATCCTTCCAGTTCAGTTACTGTGTGATATATTTTTGTATTCTAATGTAATCGTGTGAGCATAACAGTAGATGTGAAATAAATGCAGAGCTGTGTATTGTATGGTTTTCAGAACTTTGTATACAAAGCCACATTTTTAAAATTCTTTGTTTAGGCCAGCCTCCTAATGCAATATGGGCTGGCTTTGTCACACTGTATTTATGCTGACCCACTTATTTAATTCTGACCTCCAGAAACCTGCCCTCTGTATCTTTTGCAAGATGATTTTAGGAAAAAGAATTCAGAGTATAGATTTTATCATCTTGAAGTTTTGTTTTGCATATTAATATATGAGAATTCTCCCTCTTTGCCCCACCTCCATTATTTGGTAGAAGTAAAGAAAAAGAATGACTTTTTACTCCTGTGCTGTTATTTTCTCACTTCAAGTGAGAAAATATGCATATACATATGCATACATATACGTATATATATGCATATGTGCATGTATATATGCACATATATACATATGTGCACACACATATACATATGCATACATATGCATATGTGGTTTCTTGCTTAAAAAATTTCAAGAATGTGTGTAATTGACTGACTTAAATAGCTAGCCCTAATGCTTTTCAGGTTCCTGGTTCTGTTACCTATAGTTTCATTAAAATGTTATTAATATTTACTATGTTACTCTGTCAGTTGTTTCAAGGCCATTTTTTAACCATTCTTTGCACCATTCATTTTTCACCAACCCATAAATCTGTATTCCCTTTCTGAAACCATGTTTATCATACATAAGAGAGAGGGCTGAGGAAAATTTGATAGATAGTACATCTCATAAATATTGGTTGACTTAAAATGAATGAAGAAAAATAGACCTGGAGTTACACAGCTCTTCTGTGCTCCCTATCTCTAGTAACACCTAGCCAATTATCCCAAGCTTAAGAATATGTCAGCCTTGAATTCTTTCTCTTCCCCTCCTGGAAATTGTCAAGTCCTATGAGCTTCAAATCTATCCTCAAATCTATACTTTTTCACCCCAATCTCTACTGCTACTTCCCTAGTTTAGATGTTTGCTGTTCCTTAGTGAAAGTATGATAATAACCTCCTGCCAAACTTGTGTCTAATAGTTGCTCCTCAGTGTGGCCTCCACAGTTATCTTTCTTAAAATATCTGGTGTTACCTTAAGCTCAGAATCCTCCGCTAGTTCTCTATTGTCTATAAAACCCTGTATCTTAATACATATTGCCTTTCACAATCTCACACCAATTTGACAATAGTGAACCTCTTGCTATTCTCTAAAATATGATATACTTTTCTTTTTATCTTTTTTATTATAAAAGCAATGTGTGTACATTGCCACAATAAACATTTCAGAAATATGTAACATAAAATGTAAACATTTCCAATAACTCACATACACATGTCTCTCTCTCTCTCATACATACACAAACACACACACGACACAGCCCCATGATACACAAACATCACTGTTAATAGTTTAATGTTTACGCTTCTCAATTAGTACTGTCCATTTTTAACTGTCTATGTAATAGAAATGTTCTTTCTCTACCCTGATTAATACAGTAGTCATTAGCCACATGTGAAATGTGGCTCTTGAAATGTGACTAGTGAGGCCGGCGCCGTGGCTCAATAGGCTAATCCTCTGCCTTGCAGCGCCAGCACACCGGGTTCTAGTCCCGGTCGGGGTGCCGGATTCTGTCCCGGTTGCCCCTCTTCCAGGCCAGCTCTCTGCTGTGGCCAGGGAGTGCAGTGGAGGATGGCCCAAGTCCTTGGGCCTTGCACCCCATGGGAAACCAGGATAAGCACCTGGCTCCTGCCTTCGGATCGGTGCAATGCGCTGGCTGCAGTGCGCCGGCCACGGTGGCCATTGGAGGGTGAACCAATGGCAAAAGGAAGACCTTTCTCTCTGTCTCTCTCTCTCTCACTGTCTACTCTGCCTGTCAAAAAAAAAAAAAGAGAGAGATCATACTGTACATACTGTTCTGCAACTGATTTTTTTTATACTTAATGAACCATGAACATTTTTCAAGTCAATTTATTCAATACTGTCTCATTCTTTTCAGCAGCTATATGAGGGTACATCAAAGTTCATGGAAGGGGAAGCATTGTGACTGAGCAGGTTTAACTACAATTTGGAACACCTGCATCACATATTGGAATGCTGGTTTACATACTGCTATGCCACCTCCAATCCTACTCCCTGCTAATGCACCTGGGAAGCAGCAGACTCTAGCTCAAGTGCATTAGTTACTGCTACCCACATGGGAGACCCAGAGGGAGTTCCTGGCTGTTGTAGCCATTTGGAAAGTAACCATCAAATGGAAGATCTTTTTCTTTGTCACTCTACCTTTCAAATAAATAAATCTTTTTTCCATGAACTTTTTGAAGACCTGTCCATATAATGTTCCAGTGTGACAATTTACCATACTCCCATGGTGATGGGGAATTCATTTCCCCCATGTTATCATTAACGTAGAAAATGTACCAAATACCTTAAAACATACATATGTTGATATTCTTAGAAGTAGGTTTTCTGAGTCAAATCAGATTTGAATAGATGTAGGCAAATTGCCCTCCAAATAGATAGCACCAGTTTTATTTCCCACCACCAGTGCCTATTTTTCCACATTGCCACATTTTTCATTTGAGAGTGAGAATGAATGAGAGAATCAGAGAGAGATCTCTCATCCATTGGCTCACTCCCCAAATGGCTGCAACAGGTCTCTCACACAGATGGCAGCAATCCAATTACTTGAGCCTTGACTTCTGTCTCCCTGGGTCTGCATTAGCAGGAAGCTGGAATCAGGAACCAGAGGTGGATATTGAACCCAGGCACTCTGACATGGGACACAGTCATCTTAACTGCTAAGCTAAGCACTTTACCCCCTCAGTCTTTATCTTGTCCAATGTGATAGGTGATCAATTTTTTAAAAATATTTATTTATTTACTTGAAAGAGTTACGCAGAGAGAGGAGAAGCAGAGAGAAAGAGAGAGGTCGGTCTTCCATCCGCTGGTTCACTCCCCAGTTGTCCTCAATGGCCAGAGCTGTGCTGATCCAAAGGCAAGAGCCAGGAGCTTTTTCCGGGTCTCCCATGTGGGTGCAGGGGTCCAAGGACTTGGACCATCTGCTGCTGCTTTCCCAGGCCATAGCAGAGAGCTGGATCAGAAGTGGAGCAGCTGGGACTCGAACCAGCACCCATATGGGATGCCAGCACTGCAGGTGGCAGCTTTGCCCACTACACCACAGTGCCAGCCCCGGTGATCAATTTTATATCATGTTTTAATTGGTCTGTAATCATTAATGAAATCAAGTGTCTTTTTTTCTTTTTAATCCATGACTTTTCATTCCATTTGGAGCCCTGAAAAAGAATATGGTTGCCACTATTGAACATCTGATACCACCTGAGGTATCTGTTTAAGAAGTTTAAAAAAAAACTTTAAACCTGAAAAACCATTTTCCAAATGTTTTTAAGTTCTTTCTTACCTCAACCTGACTACCCTTCTAGGAGTAACACTTTTCTTGCACACCTAGTACAAAGGCTATTCATTCTTTCACACCCATGAACCACAGGGCCTAGGGCAGGTTCAATATTCCTATTGCTCATTACAAAATTTCTTCCTCCTTTGAAATTTGTTCATTTAGCTGTAGCAGCATGTATCTCTCCTAGTTTGTCTCTGTTCTCCATTAGTGGCTTTGGGAATAGCCTTACTACCTTTCTCTTCATCCTGATTACTTCCCTTCATTGCAGGAGAATTGAACAACCTGCCATATACTCTATATTTACAGTTCTGTGAGGTTTTGTACTTTGGTTCTACTCCAGATAGAATGGTTCTATCTCATGGAAAACTGTATACTTTAAACTCCTCTTTATCCACCTTCTTCCACCTTCCTTATTTATCAAAACCTAGTGGTGTAGTACCTCGTACGTTCCCCCTTGGTATTTATCTTTCCACTCTACCTGCCTTAACCAATTAGTCTCTGTTCTTACTCTCTAATAAGCAATGCTGCAAAGAAATAAATCACATAGACATGTTAATTGGTGCTAACATGGGTTTATGGTCTGTAACCTTAGCTAAAGTCTTGTAGTTTTAGGGTCACTTAGCAGTTATTTTATATGTCTCTCATTGGGTCCCAATCTTGTTCTGTCAAACTGCTAACTCCTAATCTGTACCCTGCTTTAAAAACTCAACGTGAATCCTCATCTTTCCAGTATTATTCTTACCAACTCTTTTCGTGTCTCCTTCATTGCTTTCTCAAAGAATTAGGCATCCCATCTTTTGTGTAAGGCTACTCCCTCTGCTTGTATCCTAAATGTCATTCCCTCTTAGTTTTTTTTTTTTAAGATTTAATTATTTTATTTATTTTAAAAAGAAGGACAGAGGGAAACAGAGATCTTCCACCTGCTATTCACTCCCCAAATGGCCACAACTGCTAGGGCTGGGCCGAATCAAAGCCAGGAGCCTGGAATTCCATGGGTGGGAGGGGTGGGAGGGCCAAGAGGTCCCAAGTGCTTGGGCCATCTTCCATTGCTTTTCTAGTCACATTAGCAGGAAGTTGGATTGTAAGCAGAGTAGCTGGGACTCAAACCGGCCAATAGGAGATTCTGGCATTTCAAGTGGAGCTCTACCCACAACACCAGGCCCCTGCTCTTACTTCTTTAAGGAAACAACTCTCAGATAATTTCCTCCTGTTCGTTTTGATTTCTTCTTGCCTCAAAAATTTATTCAAATATTTTCTCATTTCTAAAGAACAGTAACTTTTTCCTTATACTCTTGTAGCTGTTGCCTTCTTTCCTCTTGATTAGAGCCTTGAAAGTAGTTGTCCTTCCCTATTAGCACTTCCTCACCTCCCTTTACCCTTCAGCCCACTGTGATACTTACCACTACTATTACAGTTATTCTTGCTGTGGCAAACCTAAGGTTTGACTTATCAAACCTAAGGATCACTTTTCAATCCTCATTCTCTTTTGACCTTTGCTTCATTGGCACTGTTAACCCCTTTCTCTTTGAGCCCTTCTTTTAGTCCTGGATTTAATCCATCTACTCCCTCCTGACTCTTTTTCTGCTGCTGGAGCTGATTCTTTACAAGTTGGCACTTGTAATACCCCCCTTCCTCTAAGTACCCTTTAAAGTTCACTGCTTGTTCAAGTTGTTTTTCTTTTCACTTTTGTTATATGCATAAACATCTCTAGATATACACAAAGTTTCTATTACCATCTCTGTTCAGAGAGTGGCCACGTCTATCTCCAGCTCAGATCCTTCCTTCTCCTACATTCCAAACCAACGTTTCCAGTTGTATACATCATATATGTATTGTATTGAACACATTGTACCATTGTATATCCCTCAACCACCTCAGATCCACCATGGCCCAAACTGAAATATTCTTACCTGCCTTCACTACTACCTAAAATTTGCTTTTTCTGTGTTCATTATTCAAACTTATATAGTACTGCCATCCATTTATCTAATAAACTACACATTTCAGAGTCATCTTTGCTCATCCTTCTCCTTTATCCCATATCCATTCTCTTATTTTCTCCTATTAAATTTTCTTCTAAAATATTTATTTGAAAGACAAAATAAGAGAGAGAGGCAGGAAGGCAGACAGAAAATCTTCCATCTACTGGTTCACTCCCCAAATGGCAGCAACAGCTGGGGTTGGGCCAGGCCAAAACCAACAGCCAAGAACTTCATCTGAGTCTCCTGCATGGGTCGCAGGAGTCCAAAGTACTTGAACCATCACCCATGGCTTTCTAAGGCACATCAGTAGGGTACTGGATCAGGAGCAGAGCAGTTGGAACTTCAATTGACACTCTGATATAGGACGATAGTGTCACAAGTGAACCATCTAACCCACTGTGCCATGATACCAGCTCCTAAATTTTCTTACTTTCTGTTCCTCTTCACCTTTTCAGCCCTACTGCTATTACCCTGCTTCAGTTCCTCAGGGCCTTTCATGATTTTAGTAGCTCTCTGACTGGTCTTCCTATATCCAAACACATGTCCTGAAATCCATTCTACTTACTAGCCACCACAGTGATCTTTCAAAAATGCATATCTGATCATGCACTTCTCTGCTTGCATCACCTCAATGGCTCCCTGACACAAGATAAAATATACTTTTTGGTTTGACCTTTGTCCTCTTGGCCAGGACGCTTGTGCACTCGCTTGCACACACTCTCACTTGCTCGTGCTCTCTCTCTCTCTCTCTCCCCTGCTTCCCTCCCTCTCTCCTCCCCCTCCCCTCACTCTTAATCTAGCCTCAGCCATTACCAAGCAACTTAACAGGTTCCTCACTTATGCAATGCCTCCGGCCTTACCTGTGTATTGTCATGTTGTTCCCCCTGCCTAGAATGTCATTTTCCTGATCCATCTGGCAAATGTCTGTTCACCTACCAAGACCCACTTAATTGTCTATTCTTTGGTTATCTTTTGTGTCTTTCTTGCATTGTTTAACTTACCACTGATTTGCAGTCATTCATTTTAGGTGTTTGTTTTCTTTGCATTCCCAGTGCATACCATATTCCTCTTGTATCTAGCAGTTCCTGGCTAGGTTTGTGGATGAGTGAATGGGTAAATTAACTAATGTTGTTTTCCTTCCTCTCCTGAGGTAGTCCTACCCTTTCTTTAAGACTTAAGGTTCTGTGATTCCTGCAAAAGAATATAGGTACTTTTCTTTACTCTGTAGCACCAGTTTTTCCACCATATGATAATTATTTATTTATCTTATTCACCTCACTAGTTTATGGGCTCCTGAAAGGCAGAAACTGAGTCTTTGTATCCCTGTTATCGAGCACATACCTGGCACAAAGGGGTACACAATTAAGTGTTATAATGAATAAATGAATAATCAATGTCTACAATTGCCACAATTGTACAAGTTGAAAAACTGCCCAGATCATCACATCTTGCTAATTATATGCAAACCAGCCAAAGTGGGTAAGCCCCGCCATCTTATCCATCTAAATTAGAAGGGTTTGTGTTAGTAAGACTAAATTACTGGGCCGGCACCGCGGCACACTAGGCTAATCCTCCACCTTGCGGCGCCGGCACACCGGGTTCTAGTCCCGGTTGGGGCGCCGGATTCTGTCCCAGTTGCCCCTCTTCCAGGCCAGCTCTCTGCTGTGGCCAGGGAGTGCAGTGGAGGATGGCCCAAGTCCTTGGGCCTTGCACCCCATGGGAGACCAGGATAAGTACCTGGCTCCTGCCATCGGATCAGCGCGGTGCACCGGCCGCAGTGCGCCGGCCGCGGCGGGCATTGGAGGGTGAACCAACGGCAAAGGAAGACCTTTCTCTCTGTCTCTCTCTCTCTCTCACTGTCCACTCTGCCTGTCAAAAAAATAAAAAAAATAAATAAATTACTGGAGGAAATCACTGTCATATCTGTGACTGGAAAGCAGAACTTTCTTGTGTTTTTGAGCTTGGATTCTTCCTCCTCCTCTCACCTTCCCCTGAAAATTGATCCTTATCTTCCTCCTAAGTTTTATAAATTTAAAACTCCCATTGTTTTCCTTTTTATCTTACATCATAGGTTGGATTTAATTTTCTTTACACATTGGGTAAGTTCTTCTTCTTTTCTTGCACACCATTGTTTTCTTTTTCACTCCCTATAGAGAATTCTAGTGTTATGACAGGATATCAATGTAGCCCAGTAAGACCAGGTTCTCTGTTCTAAAGGGATAGCATTTTGCAATCCTATTGATTAACCCAGCATGCTATATAAAAGTTGATTATGGTATTTTTTTTTTTTTTGCTTCTTTTCTTCTTAGGCAGTGAAGGTAGAAAAGGCCAGTGTCTTAGTCCATTGTTCTGATGGGTGGGACCGCACAGCACAAGTCTGCTCAGTGGCCAGCATCCTCTTAGATCCCTTTTATAGGACATTCAAAGGACTCATGGTAAGAGACCAAGCAATTGTATCTTCCTTTATTCGAGGGAAAGATCACTCAAAAAAGAACTTTCAGCCAACTGTTTTTTTTTTAATAAGAATAAGCTCTAAATATACAAAATAGTTCTTTTTCACTTTAGCTTATTTTCCATTAATTGAGGTATGTACAGTCTGTGTACTTTCTGTTGTACATTCAACATACATTCTTACCTATCATATATCATAGATTGTATATAATAGGCTGCTCTAAGCGGGTAAGAAAGTCTCAAAAAGTTTGTAAAGTTGATGAATGACTGTTAAATAGACTGATTGGTTCATCATCTTTAACAGCTCATCTGTTTGAATGTCAGGCTCATGACAGTTTTCTGGTGCAGGATCCAAGGCTTCTTAGTTGATCTTTCTAAGAAGCAGAACTCACAATAGCAGTTTCTAGTCATTTCTTAAATTTTCTAAATGGTTGAAATTGTTTTGTTCTTAGTACTAATCCAAATGTTGCCTTTGGGTTTCATTTAATATCATGCTTATCAGGATTTCATTTAGTTATGGTTCAATAGTTTGTCAGACTTCATGTAAAAGTCAAAAGAAATGTGACACTGGATATAAATCCAGAATAATTTCTCCTGAGAGAACTAAAAACTTGAAGGTAGCCTATACAGGCCTATAAATGAAATCCAAGTTACTTAGTTATCATTTGGGATCATTTCAACCATTTCAGCAATGTTTTTTTGATGTTCTTGTGTGTATGGTTAATTCATTTTATGATTTTCCTAATGCAAACTTTTCTTTTTTTTATAAAAATGAAGATCCTAATAGAGAAGGAATGGATATCCATGGGTCACAAGTTTTCTGAAAGGTAAAAATATCTTCATTTTCACTGAAGGAGCTAAGGAGAGTTCATAAAAAAATCCAACATGCTCTTGTGTAGGAAGGAACAGGAAGTTGAATGTGGCAAAAGTCATCTTTTCATCAAGCAACAAATATTCCAGGCACTATGCTAAGACACAGAATGTCATCTCTGCTTTGAAGGAGTACAAGTAATTATATCAAGTAGTTAAATAGTTCAGGAAAAGCAAGGCATCATAGGCCACAGAGGAAAAGCACTTAACTCCACATGAAAAAGTCAGGGTAGGCTTCCAGGAGGCAATATTTAAGGATGGATTTTTAGAGATGAATAGGAATTTGATAAGCAGAACAGTGGAATGAGGAGGGCATTCAGGTAGAGACTAGCATCTAAGGTAATGTACCATTTAACCTTTTGTAAGTGAACAGACAGTTGTAGATACCTGTTCTGTAATAAGGGGTTGGGAGCAAGGGCTTACATTTACCTACTGACTGACATAAGAAGCCTAAAGCTTTGTCTATGTT